ACGTGGTCTCCGGGGTTGCATCGTGCCCGAGAAGAGCAGAGCGAGAGCAGGCATCCTGCGTTTGGGGGGGGGGAGCACCGTGCACGTCCACAAGGCTCCGGTCTGCACGGCGCCCCTCTTTGGGGACGATGGGGTCCGTGTTAAGCAGCGACGGCCGGGACGGGGCGACGGCGCCGGGGCCCGGGGGCCACCGAGACAGCATTCAGATGGCTCCGCAGTTCGGGCGCGCCGGAGAAGCGAACCCGCGGCAGCCACCGCAGGTCCCTTCCTTTGACTGCTCCATCTGCTTGGAGGTCCTCCACCAGCCGATGAGGACGCGGTGCGGCCACGTGTAAGTGCGGCTCGGCTTTCCGTGGAGGTTCGGGGCGGGAAGCGAATTCTGCTCTACACATTTTTTGTGTGTTTTATTTTTTTTCAAATGCTGTTGAATTTGGTTTTGTTTTCTTCCTCGTTGGGGTTAGCAGTTCTTTGCAAGCTCACTGGAAGTAAACCGCACGGATAACGGGAAGTTAATCTCCAAGTAAATATTCATAGGATCGTATGTTGGCTTTTCTTTTGTTAGAACTTTGTTTTGATTGTGTTTCACACGAGGTGCGCTAGAGAGGCATTTTGCTCTAGATCTGGACCAATCAAAATCCGGATTTATTGTTCCGTTATTTGAAGGAAAGGAATTGATTCCAGTTTGGGATTCTCAGTTCGTGACTTTTTGTTATGAATGCGGAAACGAGATGGAAAAATTGTTTTTTTTGAACTACAATTCTAGAAAACCGTAAGCAGCTGGCCACGAAAGTATGAAATTGAAATCCGAAACCATTAACTTTTTGTCTGCACCAAAGATACTCCGAGTGGGTAAAACTGGGTAAAAGAGCAAACAGGAGCAATTTAACTTGAAGCTTATGCGTCTGGAAACAGAATTTGGTCAGTTCAATTTGAACGACAGGACTAGAGATGAGCCTTCCTTAAGTTTGCATTGCTTTTAATTTTTTTTCTCTTTAATATGGTAGTATGGAACAAACCTTTCTATATCTGAGTAAGAAAAGAGGGATGTGTGGTTTCAAGCTATTTGTATTAATATGCTAATACTTGTTATGTTTATGAGTCTCTAGTTTTTATCTGCACTTTCCTAGTAAAAATTAATTTGTGTGTGTCTGTGTGTGTGAGTGTGTGTGAATGTGTCTACTTTAATGACTTATAGTAAGAATTACACCAGGACAATGTATGGTGTGCTTTTACATCTTAAAAGTAACATGGAAATACTATGTATTGATTCCAGTTTTGTGGTCTTGTCAATAATGTAGGCTTGTTTTAATTTACCACAAATGAAAACACTTCCCATGTATTTTTTAATCAATAAGCATAGGATTTATTATTCTTCATGCCTTGGTGTGTATTTACATATTAATTAGGTACAGTATCTGCCTGATAATTTGTTTACATTTTGAAACGAGGGAAGTATTCTTAGTTTTTGGTAGAAATATGCACATTTTAATTACATGAGATGGGGGGAACACCCCTTATTTTGTATGTGAAAGTTAAATGAAAACAACAGTATTCCAAACTGTACTCCAAAAATCTAAAGATCCTGTATTCACTGAAGTTAATTTATTCCTCATTATGTAAAGACAGACACAGATCTTTTTAGCGCCAATGTGCCAAAATGGTTCTTACTCATTAAAATTTCAAAGTGTTTCTGATTTTCCTTTTTTTAAAAATGTGGGCAAACAAAATACAGCCATAGATGGACCATAATTCAAGATGGGGAGTCAAGACCTCTGAAAATATTTGTGGTGAGGCATTGTATGGATAAAGCTGTATGAAATATGGATACTCCTTTGCACAGTAAAGGGAAGGCACAGGAATTAAATGATTAGCAGCTTCCTGCAATGTTTTGGCTTATTCACTGTATTAGAATTGTTGAATCTTCAATATGGTAGGTGGAATAGTGAAATCCAGCATTCAAATTCAAAAATATTTATTTTATTTATATCCTGCTCATCTAGACCGAAGTCTACTCTGGTCAGCTAACAGCACTTTCACAACAGATTCATAAAACAATAGCAGTATAAAATAACATCTAGTTTGGGAGTTTATAGTGCTAGCATTAATGTTAAAATATAGCTATGTGTGTACAAATAATTTACAAATGCATTCCTTAGGAAATGTTGGTTGATAGCAACCCAAGCCATTTCTTATTATTTTCTAAAAATTGTGTATTAATGTATTAGACTTTTCTCTCTGTCTGCTGCTGGGAGCTCCAAATTTTTCAAGCTGGAATGATTCAAACAGGCTTTTCTCCATGAAGTGAATTGTGATACTGTACGTTTATGTAAGGGTGGGGCATGTCTATAGGTAATGTTTTGGTGATAGGTAAAGTTGGGGCATAATGTTGTGGCCTGCAGGGGGATATGCAAGAGCAAGGCAGCATGGTTTTAATGTGGGGATTGAGTGCTTGTCAGATCATGTGGGAAGGCCCTTGTGTTGTGAAGGAAAAGCTTTTGTGCTGTTAATTACTTAATTGACAGGTCTGAAAGTGTCATTAAAATCACTTACCCATCAGTTACTCTGTTCCCATGCTTTCAAGTAACACATGCAGGACTTGCCTCAACTCTGGTCACTGTATATCATGCCAATACAGTGGACCCTCTACTTAAGGAATTAATCCGTGTTGGAATGGTGGCTGCAAGTCGATAACTCTGTAAGTCGAATCTCCATTGACCTACAATGCACTCAAAACCGATTAATCCCATAACCAGTGGTTTTTATTCTATTTTTATTCCATTTTGGTTTTTTTCTGGTCTCTTAAGTCGATTCTCTGGCTGCAAGTCGAATCTAAATTTTGCAGCCAGAGAAGTCTGTAACTCGAAAAGTCTGTAAGTCGAGCCGTCTGTAAGTCGAGGGTCCACTGTAGTTTAAAACGACACAGTATGTGAACAGTGATCAGATAAATCATGCATGTATTACTTGAAAGTAAAGAGTAACAGATGAAAAGGGAATCATTCTGGCATATAAATTAGATGTATTTTGCAAAATTACTGTTCACACTTCTGATGTTCTGTACTCTTAAGACTGTTAAGTAACTTTTCATGTTATTTTTCTATATAAAAGTTTTTGAGTAATGTAGTTTGATGCTTTAAATGAGAAAGTGGTTTCATAGTGAACCATAAAAGGATCTTCAGAGGTGGGACCAGAGGATGAAAAGAAAAGGGGGGGCTGTGGGTTGGAATATGATTTGCATTACATCCAATATGGGTGAACTCCAAAATAAATCTACAGTCCCTGTATGAGCATGATTGCAGTTCCAAATGTAACACAGGCTGTAAATCAAATTGTTCTGATTCAGCTTTTCAGTGTAGTTGTACCCTTAGACGCAGCATTGATAAAAGCTTTAATCATACTCCATGAATTATCTCCAAATCTGTGTACCCACTATTTTGCCAGTCTACCATTACTCAGGCATATTATTAGAGAATTCTGATTTGTGCACGTTTATATGCATTATTATGTCTGATTGCAGTGATATCTATAAGAACTGGTTTCATTCTGTAATATGAGATAACTTGGGAAACAAGATGTGCTCTAGTTCCCACTGTCTGCTCTAGAATTTTATTTATCTGAATGTCTTATATCTAATAGGCTCTGGACATAAAACAGCACAATGGTGCTGAATTTTCTTTCAGACTGGCTAAGGATCATAGCATTCTACACACAATCAATTGATTCTTGTCAGTGGGTGCTTTTCGTGGGAGTTGGGTGAATATAGCAAAATCTTTCACTTTTGGACAGTTACGCGTAACCAAAGAGCTATGGATACAATCTAACTGGTAGCAAACACTTGTGTGCTCCATTGATTTTAGGAGAATGAAACAAAATCCTAAGGCTTCCTCAGTAAATTCAGCTGGATGTAAAAGTATAATACTGTGCTTGGATTGTATCTTATGTTCTCATTTCTCCTATATAGAGAGAAGAGTTTGTAGCCACTATTAGGTAGATACTTTGCCACTAATGAGTAACTACAGCTATATGAGAGAGCTCTGCAAGAGAACACACTATCTTCTGTGACCTCATGTTATCAATAGTCCAGTGGCTTAGGGTGATCAAGTAAACAATCTGATTGACAGGCAACTAGGAATCAATTATTAACTCCAGTAAGAAGCAATTTCCTAAAAGGTCATGTCTGCTGGTAATCATAATCATGGTACATTTTGAAATTGCAATCTTTGAATTTGAGTTTTGTAGGAAAACACAGTGTTTATTACTTTTTTTTTTTAAATCTCTGACAGGTTTTGCCACTCTTGTATTGCAACAAGTTTAAGGAATAACACATGGACGTGTCCTTATTGTCGGGCTTTTCTTCCTTCTGAAGGTATTCCTGCAACTGATGTTGCCAACATGATGAAAAATATATACCAAAACTGTACAGAATGTGAAACACAGGTAAAAAAAATTCCACAATCTGGCATCTTATAGAGCTTTAAAAATAGATGTAATGTGCCCCTGCAACTAAGTCCTGTTGTCTAAATTTTCTGGACACATTATGCCCAATGTAAAAATACATGATCCTGTATTTCATTTGCATCTTATACCTTCATGAAACCAGGAACCACACTTTTTTCTTTAACTGTTAAAGTAATATATTGAATTTTAACATTTTGAATGTCTTACTTAATCATGTTAATAAATAATTACTGTTGGGATTGAGGTACTGTTAAGAATGAGCCTACAATTTTGCAATACCCAAATTCTAAATACTTCACTTAGAAATAGGTCTCACTATAGTGCTTTTCATGTAATAGGGATGATCTAACAAAGGGAAACTTTCAAGTGTCTTAAATGATTTCAAATGAAAATGTAAAGAAGTACTTACAGGCTATAGTGCTCAACTGTGTACCTGAGAGTAAATACACTGATCTCAATCAGGTTTACTTGTCAGTACACATAGGGTTGTACTGTGAATCACTTAAGTGTATGTCCTTTTGGTTGGACCAACAGAGTTATTAAACTTAGCTGGATTTTGGATTTTTGTACTTATGGCCAAGATAATCAACTTGAATATTTGAAGGACTAATTAAACCAATGGCTGAAATTCTCTTGAGTATCTTTATGCTATGCAAGTAGGATGACACCGTCATCTCATGACAGCAGTATTTAATTTTATGGAAAGCTTTCTGTCCTCCTCCCTCAGATTTCAAGGTTCCCTAGGTCTCCTTGTTGACAATGAGGCATGACAATGAGACATGACAAGCTATGCAAACTTTATGTGAGCACTAGTAGTATTCTGGCCAACTAATGTAATTGTATAGCATACCACTTCATACATTAGCCACACAAATTCAGTGGAACTTGTAGACCACTGTTTATAGGAATGCAGCAAGAATGAATGACTAAGATTTCTTTATATGATTTAGGTATGCCTTAGTGAAATGAGATCTCATTTGAGGACTTGTGACAAATATACAGAGAAATATGGACCCTTACAAGAGGTCACATACCCAGAAACAAGGTAAAATATTCTTGATAAAACTAATAAAATGCATTTCCTTAGTATGTATTGCCAAGTAAAATAGATAAGGAAGCAGCCCATGATGGATCTGTGGTGGGATTTTTTAAAAACTAAAATCTCTCACCTTGCCCATCCCTGTCTATTCTGCACTGATGCATTCATTTTTAATAAACACTACTGTGGTATATCATTTATAAAAAACAACTTGCTCCACCTCTTTTGGGTCCATACATGGGGTGAAAAAGAATCCGAAGTTGCACCCAGAACATAAGAGAGAGCACAAAGGCAAGACTGTAGTATTTTCAAGGTCATCTCAAAAAGTGTGGCACCTTAAATTCCTTAAATTTTTATTTACATAAGCTTTTATGGACTGCAGCCCCATCATTAGATTCATGGAACATTGCCTCATTTGGAAGATTATTATTATACAGTGGTGCCACGACTTACGAACTTAATCAGTCCCAGAAGATGAAGATGTTTGGAAATGCTTGTAAGTCGAAGCACCATTTCCCATTGAAATGCATGGGAACAGGATTAATCCGTTCCAGCATTCCCAAAAAATAAAAAAAATTAAACACTGCAAGCCCCTGGGGTTGCAAAAAACAAAAATTATCCAAAAATAAACATAACCCCACCAGCGCAATCCCACCCTGCAAAAGCCACCCAAAACATTTTGGGTGGTGGAGGCCCGGGCTGGGCAGTGGTGGTGGAACTCAGGCCGGGTAGCAGTGGTGGGGCCTGGGCCGGGCTCCGGGAGGCTGAGCATGGTCGAGATGGTCCAGCGGCTCACCTCCCGCTGCCGGCGGTAGAAGCCCTGGAAGCTGAGCCTTCCTTTTCCTAACCGTTGGGGGCGAAAGAGCTACAAGGAAGCAGCCTCTTCGCCACCAACGGTTTGAATTTCCTGCCCTTTTCCACTGCCTTTTTTGGTTCGTACCTCAAAGCTCCGTTTGCAAGAAGCAAAATTTTGTGGCCAGAGCTATTCGTACATTGAAATGTTTGTCAGTAGGAGCATTCGCAAGTCGAGTTACCACTGTATATGTATTTTGCCTGAGGGACTGTAAACAGAGCAATCAGTGGGAATTAAAATGTACAGTGGTGATTGCTATCTTAGTGATCCCCTTCATGCATTGCTGCATTGTTGTGGCCAAGAGGTTTGAGTAATTCAGAGAAGCTATGGGCTATGCCATGCAGGGACACCCAAGACGGACAGGTCATAGTGGAGAATTCTGATTAAACGCGATACACCTGGAGGAGCTACTGGGAAGCGACTTCAGTATCTTTGCCAAGAAAACTCCATGGACAGAAACAAAAAGCTAAAAGATACAACTCTGGAAGATGAGCCCCTCCAGTCGGAAGGCGTCCAACATGCTACTGAGGAAGTGTGGAGGACGTGTACTAGTAGCTCCAGAGCTAATGAAGTGGTTGGGCCAAAGCCGAAAGGATGGTCAGCTGCAGACACACCTGGAAGTAAAAGGAAAGTCCAATGCTGCAAAGAAAAATATGGCATAGGAACCTGGAATGTAAGATCTATGAACCTTGGGAAGCTGGATGTGGTCAAACAGGAGATGGCAAGAATAAACATTGACATCCTGGGTGTCAGTGAACAAAAATGGACAGGAATGGCTGATTTCGATTCAAACTATTACCATATCTTCTGTTATGGGCAAGAATCCCATAGAAGCAATGGAATAGCCTTGATAGTCAACAAAGGAGTGGGACAAGCTGTACTGAGATACAGTCTCAAAAATGATAGAATGATTTCAATATGAATCCAAGGCAGAGCTTTCAACATCACAGTAATCCAGGTTTACGCACCAACCACCGATACTGAGGCAGGACAAAGGCTAATAGAGTTTTGTCAAAAGAACAAGCTGGTCATCACAAACACTCTTTTCCAACAACATAAGAGGTGATTCTACACATGGACATCACCAAATGGGCAATACTGAAATCAGATTGATTATATTCTCTGCAGCCAGAGAT